ACATACGACACCGTTGTGAATACCCCAATTGTTTCGTCGATATCGCGCACTCAATGCGTTGGTGTGCTTTATTAATTTTGCTTGCTGTCGCGTTCTCATCGTTAAGGCTCAGTTATGCATACTTTGCACTGCACTGTATAGCATGTAATTTTACGTATAAATAAAAAATCAACAGACTTTTACATATGAAATGCTGTGCGTTGGGTAACCGCTTACACGCAAATCTCATTTAACAGATTCCTTATTTGACAACTCTCATACAATGCCAAGTATGCATAACTGAACCTTTATAGCCCAGTCATGCATACTTAGCTTTGCATGAGAGTTGTCACATAAGAATATGTTAAACGGGCTTTGCGTGTAAAGCCCTGTATGCAGCTCTCAAGAAAACGGTCAAGAAAAAATTGCCATTATTTCGCGTGTGTGTCCAAGGAATTTTGACCTTTTTGATACCTAACAGCCTGTTGCCTCACTCTTTTCTCAAGAAATAATGGAACGGCATTTCTGTTGCAAACCTGGGTTGCCTTGTGCTCTTATTTCACAAAAAACTTTAGAAGACCGTAGTAGAAAGCGTAGTAAATTTCTTAAGAACTGCGTACTGCCTTAAGGAAATTTGACTCAAGAAAATTTCTTAGCCATTTCTTGTACGTCATTTGGAGTTAGAGGGGTTGTGTGTTAAAACAGAAAAATACTTGGAGTTATAAAAACTTTGGTTATGTAAGAGTTAAAAAAATAGTAACTGGCGAATTTTATGCTTTCTGAAATTAAAAAATTATACAACAGGCATGCAAATTTTTAAGCGCTGTTATAAATTTTTATCTGAAATTTATTTGTGTTTTTTGCTGTGATCTTAAATTTTAGTCATGGTAAAGAAAATCTTAAGAAGTGAGTTGTTTGACATTTGGAGAAGTGTTGCTGACTCTTCTAAAAGACAACAAGGTGTCCGTGATTATGTGATTAGTAAATTTAAAGAAATGTCTGATGAAAATGCTCGTTCCGAAGTAAATAAAGTAAATTAAATAAATGACTTTAGATTCGTAATCAGCAACCCAGAAAACCCCCAGATACCCAGTTACATAGATATCTACCGATTTTTTTTTTAATTTTCGTCCGTCATATTGGATCCGCCATTTTGAATTTTTGGTAAATGACTTTAGATATGTAATCATCGACCCAGAAAACCCCCAGATACCCAGTTTCATAGAAATCTACCGATTTTTTTTAATTTTCGTCCGCCATATTGGATCCCATTTTGAATTTTTGATAAGTGACTTCAGATTCGTAATCAGCGACCCAAAAATCCCCTAGGTAAGAAGTGGTGTAAAGATCCATCAACGAGTATTTGTTTAAATAGTTTCGTCCAGCTAGATTTGCGATCCGAACTACTGTGCGATGTGTGCTTGTTGGCGCATTTACATGGTATGAAGCCATATGAACTGTTGATACGTTAAAATAGAGGGACTACATGTTCTAATGAGGAATTCAATGATATCGAGTGGGATGCAAATAATAAATTTTTTCATATGAAAAGTTATGGGGAGATACTGTAAACATACTGTTGTGATACTGTTAAGCATATGAAATTATAGCAAGTTGAATTTTCATACATCTTCCCATAAAAAGTTTAACAGATGCAGAGATACCAAGGGGGGTTTTTCCCATTTTGATGCCTTTTTAATATAAAAACCCACCGAAAAGGAGGAAAGCGGCAACTCCGCCATTCACATACATGTCAAAAGTATGAATTTTAAAAATTAAAAACAATAAACAAACAAATTCAAAACAAAGAAATTCTTTGTACTAGAATTTTTTAAATTGAAGCCACTCACGTTTAGTGGACAATAAAAATACGAAGAACTATGATAACAAACTTACAACAAGACATTACAGAACATTTTAATGAGCTTTATATCACGTTTAAGTAAAAATAAGCCTATATTTTCCAAGCTGGCAAAGAAATGAAAATGTGTATTTTTTGTTGTTTACACAAAGACTTGCCAAATATACATATAAGTCAAAATTATAGAAGGCATGTATACTTCTCCCTTTCATTTTTTCATACAGTTTATGCTTCTTTCTGGCTTTTACAAAAATGCAGGGATACCGCACTTATTTCGGTACAATATGATCGTAATGTATTTTCAATTCGAAATCAAACAAAAACATCCCACGAAAATGTTTGCGATTTTAGAACCATTAGTGAATATTTGCAAACTACTGCAAATAATAGAGTGCCATATCTTACAAAGATCAGAGTATTAACGAAACAAACAAGCATTTTATGGCTTCATGTTTCCTTCAAACCGCATTGCTATTTTTTCTAACTTTTCCTTTTGTTTAGCGCTGTAACCTATTAAGTTATATCTTTTAATTTATACATGTGAACTATTTTCAATGAGCATTTTTTCATTTGCTCCAGAATTTTGGGTACATTTTCTTATAGTACCTCTCATTCTTTTTTATATTACATATATACACTCCGAAGTTCGGGATAGTATTTTGAATATACCAGCAATATATGTAAAAGTAGTGCCGGCTGCTGTAGAGCATTACGCAGAGCCTGAGTTCAAGCCCAGTTTTTCTAATAGTGGTTGCCCCTCTGTTGGTAATAGTAAACCTCCGAGTGTATTCTGTCATGGAAACAACTTCTCATTAAAATACAATTGCCGTTCGGAGTCGGCGTAAAACTGTCCTTTACTTTGTGTGACAAAATCACGCACGCCGCATATCGGAGGAGAAGCTAGGCCAAACACTAACATATTGTTCAAGCGATATACATATTCGTCGTTTAAAGTACAAAAGCGCGTATCGTGGTTCTGCAAAACCTCGGAACTGAAATTTGTGCCAAAAAAGATATTTGGTCATCGGAAGCTCCTGACATCAAGCCCTTAGCCATTTATAATAAAATATCGATATAATAAAATATCGACTTAGACATAAGGAGAGAAGATTATTAAGTTTAAAAGAGAGAACCGTTTTTAAAATTTAGGCAACCTCCCATACGAGGTTTTGCATTTCCTTGATGCGCGGTTTTGTGCTTTAAACGAAGATATGTAGAAGTATTGCATACATATTTTGGTGCCCATTCAAGTATAAAATCCACTGAGAAACGGAAGAAAACGGCATCCCTATGATTTCAACTTATGCCAAACGTTTCGTAAACAAGCAATTCTGAACAAAAAACTGTTTTTCCACAAAGATGTTTAAATGGAAGCATTACAAATATGGGAAAATAGCAATCCACAAGGCTTCATTGGCAGTAGGTCCTTTTTAAAGCACATTTAACAAAAAAATAAGCTTCGAGTTTCGAAGCAAGCACAAAAAAAAAATTTTTTTATTTGTTGTTTACAAAAAAAATATTGTCTAGTATACAAGTCAAAATTGTTAAATATATATCGCTTTCATTCATTTCTTCATAGAGTTGGTGCTTCTTTTATAGGAAAATTCATACGGCTTATGAACAGATTCATACCATGTAAATGCACCATGTAGCGTTCGGCAAATAACTTGTAACAAGTTTTTATATATTTTATGCATATATGTAATACTTCTATATTAGTAGTAAGCTAAAATCTCAATGTGCAAGCATTCCGAAATCAAAGCGAGACAGTCTAGTACTGTTTTTGTCAATGTATTGTGTACTTGAGTGCCGTTTTTGTAAATGTGTCGTGTACATGTTTATTTATAAACGTATGTGTTCCTTTTCTTTCGTACGTGTTTATTGATACATCTGTACTGTAGTGTTTTCGGACGGTACTAGCTCTTACTGCCAACATAGGAGTATTACATATATGATTTTATGTGTTTTACTTTCATGTTAAATGGATTAGCTTTTGAACATAAAAAAGTAAGAAAAACAGTCAAAAATAAATTAAAATTTTGTACATAATGATGAACTTATAAACTATTTATGGAGATAATTTAAATACGAATATAACCCTACAGAGTGCGTCTGTTATCTTAAACAATTGAAATTGAAAGGTTAGGTTTAATATAATAATGGTCCAACATTGAGAAATGCACATACACGCCCAATTTAAATACAGCTTAATTTGGTGGCATGGGCGTAGCCAGGTAGGGGCAGGGGGTGCTCGAGCCCCCCCTCCCCCCCCTAACTTTAAAATTTTCCTTATATATATATAAAATAGTATCCTGAAATGCCAGCTTTATAGGGTCGATCCCCCCCCCCCTAAATTTCATTCTGGCTACGCCGACGTTTGGTGGTGCGATTCAAATAATGAAACATTTTTCAACACAGTTATGTAGTTGCAAGTCTAATTCTGTAAATAGGTTTAAGCTTTAAATCATGTATAAATTAGTGTACTCTTTTACACATATGTATTTATCTTTGTAACGTTTGACAAATAAATTGTTGCATGGTTTCTTATATTATGTATTTTACTTTCGTATTACATATTAAATGGGTAAGCTTTTGAACATAAAATAATAAGGATAAAAGTCAAAAAGTAAATTGACATTTTTATGTAGTGATAAACTTATGAAATATGTATAAGAAAATTTAAATACCAGGTAAATGTGGATAGTTGAAGCCATCTGCTATGTGTTTTTCAGAAAACTAGAAAAATGTGTTTCATATTTTTATGTAAAGTAATGGTCAAATCTTATTCAGCCGTATTCTGCACTTCGACTCGAACCGAAATTTTCCCCGTTTGGCATTTTTGGTATTCTGCGTTCCGTTTCGTTTCGATCAATCTTCAAAATTTACGAATATACCTATTCTACATTTCGATCGTAGTTCCCACCCCTATGCTGTAATCCGTCGTAGATTCGATTTTGCTACGAATCGTAAAATTGGTATGCTGTAATCCGGAGACCATCTTCGAAATTCGTAATGTTTGTATGCCTGAATCCGACGTAGCTGTCATTTGTATGTATTTGTCGGAAATTTTCTACGAAGAGCAACTGGTGTAGAACGAAGCGAATTTTTTTTTAAATATCAATAAAATAAAGTGTGTAAAGGAAAAAATATGTAAGTTAAAGTGTAATAGAAAAACATGGATTATTGTTAAATATTTACAAAATTATCAGATCGAAGATTACAACAAATCGGTCGCAATACGAAAAAATGGTAGAATGCTTGACCGAAAGGCCGGACATTGTTCGCGGCTTTGCAAAAGGAGCAAAAGAGGATGTAGTGGAGTTTTGGGAAAGCGTCGCTCAGCAGCTAAACAGCTTAGGCCCACCGACAAAAGATGTATCCAGCTGGAAAAAGGTGCGGATAAAATTTTAAGAGCACAAAATTTATTTATCATTGCTTTCCTTATATCAAAACTATTTCTAGGTATGGCTCGATTATAAGTGCTACATTAAAAGAAAACTTTCTGCAAGTAAAGCAGAGACGAGGGCAACTGGTGGTGGACCCAACAGAATGCGTAATTTCAATGAGTTGGAGGAAAAAGTGATCGAGTTGACGGGTTTGCACTCTTCCACATCGGGGATCAATGGAGCTGTCTCTTTTGGTGTGGTAACAACACAGACGGTTACCCTACCGGTGGTGGAACCTGCGGCAGTCGTTCGTATGCCAACTGAGCCAGACAATGCCAATGTGCAGAGGCGTTCCCCTCCGGTAAAAAAAAGACACGACCACTTTGGTACAGGAGCAAATAAGTTTGCAACGAAGCTACTACCAAAAAAGTTTGGCGTTTTTGGAACGCCAGGCTGAGTCTGCAAACGAACTGGCAGATAACGTGCGACGCATGTACACAGTGCAAGAAAACATGCATGACATGAAGAAAGAAAAATTGCGTGAATTAAAGCGGCACAATATTGAAATGGAGGCCCTTAAAAGAAAGGAGCGTGATTTGCAGGAAAAATTACTGCGGATACAAGAAAGAAGCCAGCGAAAATGAATAGATACATTTTTTTTAAAGACCTTTTTAATTTTGAATTTAATTTAATTTTGCATTGAACTACTAATTTTTAATTTTTTTTTATTTAAAGATTATTGAATTTAAGACTATTAGATTTAATAATATAACTGAACTAAAGAAGTGAACTAACGTTTTTGATATCTGTATATATGTATAAACTATTAGATTTAAGAAAAGAACTGAACTAAAGAAATGAACTAAAGCTTGTGATATATGTATAAACCTATTAGATTTAAGAAAAGAACTGAACTAAAGAGATGAACTTACGCTTGTGATAACTGTATATACATATGTACAAACTATTAGCGTTAAGAAAACAAAGAACTGAATTTATTTTAAATTTTTTTTATAACAAATAAATATGAAGTACAAAGTTATGGGATTGTTTTCATTAGTTAGGTTAGGGATGCCCAAATCAGCACATATGTGTTGCGGGCGACTGCGCGTGCAAAGCTTTGCACAGCGGTGCTTGGCAAGCGCGGAAGCAAAAAGTTATCGGAAGGGGAAAACGAAGTCAACAGAATAGTGAGATTGTATGTGTGACAGTGATTGAAAATGAGTGTGCATTGTGCCATTTTCGTCCCTTTCGGCCGGCACCTTCAGCGCAATCGATTGATTTTCGGCACTATTTTTGCGTAACTCAATGCAACTAATAAATATTTCTTTCGGATCCGCAATTAAAAATATTTTTTTTACTTTTAATCGTACGTGTATAAACATAGAAACGCAATCAGAAGAATCTCGCTTCCACATTCTGCATATGCAACCCAGAAAACCCCCAGATACCCAGTTATATAGATATCTACCGATTTTTTTTTAATTTTCGTCCGTCATATTGGATCCGCCATTTTGAATTTTTGGTAAATGACTTTAGATATGTAATCATCGACCCAGAAAACCCCCAGATACCCAGTTTCATAGAAATCTACCGATTTTTTTTAATTTTCGTCCGCCATATTGGATCCCATTTTGAATTTTTGATAAGTGACTTCAGATTCGTAATCAGCGACCCAAAAATCCCCTAGGTAAGAAGTGGTGTAAAGATCCATCAACGAGTATTTGTTTAAATAGTTTCGTCCAGCTAGATTTGCGATCCGAACTACTGTGCGATGTGTGCTTGTTGGCGCATTTACATGGTATGAAGCCATGATTCAATTATTAAAGGTTTTGTAAGTAGCTTTTTTCTAAAATTTGGCACTCCCACCCACAGGGATGGTTTTTGGAAGCAGAAGAAAAAGGGGAAGAATTCAATCACACTTCCTAAAATGGGAGCTAAATTCTATAAAAACGTGTGGATAATAGTGAATGGTGGTATTTTAAAACAAAAACGAATTTGATTTAATTATTTAATTTAAACAAGCTTATTTACATCGAATATAACCCCCTATTGTTATTAAAAATAAATATTTCTATGTTTATACCAAACTTGCGTACGTCAGATGGCGCATAACTCGAGAATGGATGGTCCACTTTCAGCTTTTTTTTTGTTGTATTTGTTTGCCAGTTGATGGACATGAAGAAGCTATTTGTTTGCGGAAAATATGCAATATTTATTAAACAAAAAAACGGCAAATAAAAAAATTTGGAGCTTACGTTTCTTTCGCGGTTATGGCTCGATTGTTTCGAATTCTTTGATGTCGCACTTTTTATGTTCTGGGGAAAATATTCAACACTGGCTTGCACAGCCGCAGTTGGCGATTGGTGCCGGACGAACTCAGAGCACGCAGCTACTGAACGACTGAGATAGGGAACGTGATCTACATCGTCAAATGAGAAGTGGCGTAATGGGGCTTTCGCACGAGGCGATTTTTCAGGCAACTTTTGCGTTCAACTCCCGCCGGGTTGCACGAAAAAAAATTTGAATGACTAAAAATATCAAAATATAAAAAAATATTAAAATATTCGCCATAAAAAGGCGTTTGTATTGTTCAACTTTGCATTCTACTTTCAGCTAATCGCTTTCAATAAAGTTGGTCGCCAGCCAACATTCGCCTCGTGCGTACACCTTTTAAGTGTGCAATTACATCGCGCCATTGACTAAACCGAGCTGTCGTGTGACGATTGGGCCTATGGATGCGGTTTGGCAATGTTATATTGCGTCAAAATCTCATTCGGAGACACCA